AGGGTCCCACTCTTAGGGCCTCATTTAACCTTGTTTACCTTCCCAAGGCCCTGCCTCCCACTACCACAGTTGGACTAAATAGCTACTCTTTTAATACTTCATAACGGAGACTAAACTTCAACTCCAGCTTTGTAGGGACAGTCAGACTAAAGCTGTGATTTATCAGGCACTTATTCCAGATGAGGAGATTGTACCCAGAGAAGTTCAATCAAGTGCGTAAGCCCACGAAACCAGAGTTCAGGCTGATTACTGAGCACACTGTCAGCCTGCCACAGGAATGTTCATGCCCACCCTGTGTGCCCACCCTGCTACACCTGCCTGCCCTCTGCTCCCACAGCAACACGTGAGGCCCCCTAGCCATGCTGACTGCAGACCTGGCCTCAGAAGGCTCTGGATCTAGTCCTGTTCTTCCAGGGGGCTGCTTACTCCTCAGGGCATGAGGAAGGAGATTAAGGTTTTGCTGTTGAAAGAGTTTTTAGGCACTTACATGACCAATTCCAGGCAGTGCCCAGGGCTGTCTGGGGTCTCATGAGCTGTGTACCCTCCAGGTGGGGTCTTATTGCCCAACAGAGGACAGTTTCTCAGCCAGGAGTTTTTAATGAATAAGGAGCTTGATTCTAGTTTAAAGGTCAGCATTTTTGTGATGCCTGAAGCCTGGGTCAGTTAGTAGAAAAAGGCAAAGGGCTCCTGCTGTCTTTTGTGCTGGGAAATGTTGTTAGAAAAGGTGTTTATTGTGTGATCTTCACTAACAGGGGCCCTGACAAGCCTGGAACCAAGGACTTTCATTTTCTTCCCCCAAGGAACACCTCACATCTCTGGAGGGTGCAGCTACGTCCTCTCTAGGCCTGATCCCTATCACTTGCAATGGGGCAGCAGCCACCCTGGCAGGGCCCCCAGCCAAGGCTTCCCTCCTCCAGCCTTTCCACCAGATGCTGGAGCTCCCTGGCTGGGTCCCAGCCCTGGAAGACAAATCCTAGCGTCCTGCCCCGCGCCTGCTCTGCTCTGTGGCTGCCTCTTCTGGGACCTCACACAAGGCCTGGCCACTCAGTCACAACCTGCCCTGCCCAGGTCTTTGATAGGCCTGCAGAGCAGCACCTGCTCCCTTCCAGCCAAGGCTGTCCCAGGCCTTCTTGGGCTCAACAAACTTTACTTTTCTAGCCTGCTTTTCTGAGGTTGCAGCATAGAAGCCAGATGCCTCTCAAATATGAGATTAGGGGTGACTTCAGGCAGAGAAATGAAATGGAAGGCTGGAGCCCCCAACCCAAGAGACCCTGTGAGCAGAGCACAGAATCTGGGAGGGGCGCAGGAGGGGTAGGCCCCTGGCTGCTGAATGGAATCAGGATCAGGAGACAAAGGCCTTTACAAATGGGGACACTGAGGCCTGAGTTATGAAAGTAGTGACACATAGGCAGGGAAGTCCTCCTCTGGAAGACAGGCTAAGTTCTCCTCCCTCCCCAGCTTTCATTTGCTGACATATAAAATGAAGACTATTGTACCCATCTTGTGAGCTTCACAGAATCATCAGGGGTTTAATTGAGATTCTGAATGCCAAGGAGGGCATGGCGGCTGACACAGGACCACTGCCATCCTGAGGGACATTCACTGAGTGGGCACTCTGTATCCATTTGTGTGAGCTCACAACTACATGGTCTTTGCAACAATCTACTAATTTCTTCTACTTCATGGAGAAGGAAGCTGAGGCAGAGTAGTACAGTGACCCGTTGAGGGTCATAGAGCTGGGAAGAGGCAGGCTCAGGATTTGAACCCATGCATTTTGGTTCCCGATCTGTTGCTCCCAACCTCTGTGCCAAACTGACTAAAGGTTCATGGGGTCCAGTAGAAGCATGTGGGCTTGAATTGAAACAGTCTGCTGCATCCAAGCAAGTTCTATGGCCTGACGGGGCCAACTGTATAGGCAAGGCATGGTGATTGAGGACCTGGCCTCCCCATCTCTCATGGGTAAGGGCTCCCTACAGGCTAACAGCTTCATATGTAGCATTTAAGATAACAGGCACCATCCCAGAGTCCCCAACAGGTTGTTGGGCTAGTCCCTAGGTTTAACCTCATGTCCTGGAGAAGGTCAAGCTCCCCTTGCCCAGAGTACGTTGGTTACATAAGGCACCTCACAGGACAGGGGCCCTGGACTGAAGGTGTCCACTACAGCACAGTTCTTAGGACACCAGGCAGGGGTGAGCCTCATGGATTCATTTCCTCTACTGAGAGGCAGAATGTTGTATGAACAATGGCATCAGAGAAACTGGCTTAAATCTTGGCACTTAGCAGGTACTCATTTAATTCCTGGCTATGGGAACTAATATGGAAGTGGGATCCATGAACTGAGTTAGAGAGATCAGTTCTGGTAGAGTGTCCCTGGTTGACTTAGAAGTTCCCATCATCATTCATTCACTCAACAAATAGCTAGCCATCCTTGCTGGATTCCGAGCCTTGTGTTGGAAGTTGGAATACAGACATAAACAGAAAACTTCTCTCCCTCCACAGGGCTTGTGGCTTACTGGAAAAGACAGATAATTAACAAGATGAGTGTGATTAATAAGACAGGTTAGAGTATGACATGGTCTATGAAGAAAAATAAAGCAGGAAAGAGGGGTGAATGGTGAAGGAAGACCTCTCAGGGAGGGCCTCACCTGAATGACACCTAGAAGATGACGAGAGATCGTGGGGACAGCTGCTTCATGGTGTCCCAGAGAACTACCAACAATCTGCTGAACACCAGCTATCTGCTGGGGATGTGGCATTAAGCTGGGGGCAAGGATAAGACACAGGTGCAGAGGACTGCAGGCCAGAGATGTCCATGCCACAGGGACTCCTCTTTAGGGTGGGGCAAATCCCTTGCTGGGGATGATGCTGGAGACTGAGTCAGCTTGAGGAGGGGCCTGAGAGGGCCCAAACAAGGAGGTATCTGAGGGCCTCGGTGCTCAGTGCCCTGAGCCAGCTAAGTGAGGGTGGAGATGCAGACTTAGGCACATTCCCTGGTGGAGTGGGGGATTGTTTGTGGCCCTGCGTGGGCCTCAAGTGAGTGGCCAGTGTCAATTTTGGGAAGGGCAACACAGACACATCTGAGTCAAGCCAAGTGCACCTAGGACTGTACTTAGGAGAGCGGAGGTCAGGGAGGTGCTCCTGGTGCAAGTGGGGCCTGGGGACTGGGCCTGGGCACAGACACCAGGCTGCTAGACGGGGCTGGTCTTACCTTGGTTATCCAGTGTCCTGGCCCAGCATGGCACTGTCAGGAAGCGCCTCTGATGGAGTGCTCCATGGATGCCAGAGCCCAAAGGGGAGGGTGAGTGTCCCCCTCCTCCAGGGTGCTCTGCCTCTCTGCTTCCCCTACCTTGTCCTGGAAGAGGAGGAGGAGGAATGAGAAGAGGAGGAGGAGGAATGAGAGGAGGAGGAGGAATGAGAGGAGGAGAAGGAAGAGAAAAAGGAGGAGGAGGAGGAGGCGGTACCTTGGCACTGATGGATATGCAGAAGCTGGGCTGCTGCGGCCCAGCACTGTCACCATGCTCCCCTTCCTTTGGCAGAACCTGACACCCTGACCACTGAGGCATAAAAAACAGAGAATTGGAAGGCTCAGCCTGTCAGGCTGGGAGTGGCCCCCAGAGAGGCCCAAGGAGGCGCGCGCGCGTGTGTGTGTGTGTGTGTGTGTGTGTGTGGACATTCTCTTTCTGTGGTTGCCTGTGGAGGTGCAGGGAGCCCAGTTGGGCCCAGTGGGTGGGGGCAGCTGTCCCCTCAGCCCTGTCTCATTGTTCAGAGCCCACCTAGCCAAGCCCCATGGGGCCCACATTTAGGTTTAGGCCACAGGCGAGAGAGCATTGTTCTTGGGCCTGAGTTCTGGCTGGCCCTTGGCCTTTGTCAGCACCTTTGGCTTCCAGAACATGGAGTTGTACTTTGGCTGCAGCTGGTCTCATGGGGCTGTGTAACTCCTGTCATCTCCAGCACGGGCAAGCCCACGTGCTCTGTACCTAGCAGCTAAAGCAAACTACTCAGCAGCTGACTCTCCATGTCCCGCTCCACAGCTTCTGCTGGATATGCCCCTCTGCCAGGCACCAGGATGCCCAGTGAGAAGTCAGGACCCAAGACTACCCTCTGGGGGTCCCTAGCCATCAGAGGAGACAGGCAGACCTTGGCTGCTACAAGGGCAAGACAGCGATAGTGTGGGGAATAGGGTGTGAAGCTCTCCTCTTTGACCTGACCGGCAATAAAGAGGCACTGCTGGTGCTGCCATCTGACCTAGGGAAGAGCCAAAGTAAACTTATTGCTCCTTGAGCTACTGGCCCAGAGGGCACTGTCCTCAGGACCTGCCATGACCCCCTGCATGCTGTCCCCACCATGAAATACCTCACAGTTCCTGCCTGAGGATGCCCAGGACTGCTGACAATTGCCCTTTCCTTTGAGCCTGGGAGACCCCAGCCCACCATCTCTTCCTTCCCCCTGTCCTTTGGACTGTCCCTTCATCTTATCAGTGCGCCCATGGCTGCTGCATCCTGAAGGTAGACAGCCTGGGCTTTTGTCTCATCTCCCTGGCTAGACTTAAGCCCCAGGCAGTCACCTCTGGATTCATAGTGCAGATAGAGTAGAGCTGAGGCCGTGTTGTGAGGAGCAAAACTGAACCCACACTAAGATCCTAGCAGTCTGAGGCTTTGGAGTTGGGCCAGTACCAGGGCCATTGTGTGAGACTCTGGACATCAGCCTCCTTCCCTGAAAAGTGAGCTCGTGTCCCCAGGAACACCTAGCACATGGTGGTTCCATGGTACCCATATGAGAGGCTGGCTTTCAATCCCCTTGGTACAGAAGGCTTTACAGAAAGCCAATGCCAGCTGCCCACTTAGTGAGGATGTGCCCTTGACAAGGCCTTTACCAGTTATAAAAAGTATATTCAGCTCATGAAAGAGGCACATCTCACCAGCACCCAGTCTGGATGGGACACAGGGTCTTTTCTGAACTTGATCTAACATTTGGCTTCCATTTGTCTCTGTTGCCTGCAGGGAGTGAGTTTTCTGGGAGTCCCTACAGCCATCCCCAGTATTCCTCGTACAATGACTCCTGGAGGTTCCCCAACCCGGGGCTGCTTGGTGAGTACTGGCAGAGGCTTGAAGGTTCCTGGGCCACGGGCAGCCTCATCTAGGCCTTTTCCCTGGGTCCCTCGACAACCCAAGGTCCAGTCACTGAAGCAGGGTGGATATGGGGGTGGCCATGGTGTCCTTCAGGCTATGACCACTCCAGTCCCCTTGAGCCTTTGTCACTCTCTCCCAGATATTCTGGTGGATCAGGAGAAATATAGAAGAATAAAGAGGAGAAAAATACATTGAGAGAGAAAAAGGAAAGTAGAAAGTGTCTCCCCATGAGTAACATACTCCTTAAGAACCATGAAATTTGGTGAGGGTGCTCTAAATAGAGGCATTAAAGGCGCCAGCTTGGATTAATCAGCAGAAGCTGCCTGGAGAGGTGTCTTAAAAGGGCTCTGAGGCCCAGTGTTTGATTAGTGATGTCTGCCATGGATACCACTAGCACCAGCTCCAGGCTGCCCTGTGGCTCAAGGCCTGCCAAAGCCTGCCACGCAAGGCTCAGCTTGTGCCCTGCCTCTACCCAAGCCTTGAATTGACAGATTGTCTATAGCTAATACAACCCTGATCTGTGAGGATCATTAATGTGTTTTTGCCTCCTAAAGACTAAGAAGGACTAATTTAGCCCTCAAGAGTCCAAAAGAACCTTTTGTTTTGTTGACATCAAATGACATGAGATAGGCTGCTGTTAAAGGATTTAAAGCAGAGGCCCTGAGTTACAGATGTCCCTTACCATCTGGGGCATGGAGCCTCCCAATGAGCCTGCAGGCACTAATATTGATACCTTTCCAAAATCAGCTAAGAATTTTCTACATGCAGCGGTGAAAGGCCAAACATGGAAAGACTCTCTGAGACTGCTCTGGTTTGTCTGTCCAGCTTAACAGTGCATTTTAAGTGAGAACCTGTTAATTCCCTGGATCTTTAATTACTTTAGAACTGAGAAAAATAGTCTTAATCCAAAAAATAATAACCTGATGCCTTGAAACTCAAGTTGCCAAGCCATAGGACTGTGAAGGATGTCCTCAAGCCTCAGCCTTGACCCCTTCCTGAGCCTTGTTCGGTGATTAGCACAGACGCATGGTATGGGCTGCCTCTCTCTTGATCCCACTTGGGACCATGTGACGCCCAGAGAATTTTGGCGAGTCATGCATAGCTGTGAATGAAATAAGGAACACTTCTAATTCATGCTCCAGATCCCTGTGCAAAGGGTTTTTCCAGCCTCCCGGAAGACTACTATGCTCTTATTATCTGTAGTTTCCCAAAGGGCTTGACTTTGTGGGTTGAGCTCTTCTCAGACTTCTCTTTGGTTTGTTCAAAATTATTTCAGTCTATAAGTGTGAATCAGAATCTACACCTACCTGATGTTTTCTCTAAGTGGAGCTGGTTGATTCAGCTGTCAGTCTCAGGCCCTGGGGCTGTAATCTCCCTGAACCATCTATGTCTTCTAGTAAGGGTAGGTGTAAGGAGATGACTCTTGAGGCCCAAGCCTAGGAGTCCCTCACTGGAAATATCCCTGAGGCAGAGCTCTGTCCTCAGTGCTCCTGGAGACCTGCAGGTAATGTGGCTCACAGGAAGTCAGGCATCACCATGTGGGGGTGATTCTTCTGAAGGGGCAGTAGGCCTGAGGAAGCTACATTGGCCCGAAGCTTCCACATATGACTATACCACCCAAGGGACTGAATGGGGCCTGAGAGCTACCCAATCTGTGGCTTGAAGCCCTGCCCAGAAGGGGCACCTTTCTGTTTTTTGTAGGGCTCCCTATAAGTTGGCAGTGACGTTCATTTTTTTTGTCTGGAGGTTTAAGGACATAGAAGTTGAGATAAAGCTGCTTAAGCATTTGTAATAAAGGGATGGGCTAGAAGTGAGGGGAGGAGGTTAGAGTGGTGAGCACAAACAGGAGACCTTGAGCAATAGCTGGGTGTCCAGCTCTGCCTCAGAGGCTTTGACTGCTCAAGTTGGAGCAAAATCGAGTCCAGTCCCAGTTGTTAGCGGCATGGTTTGTGAGTCCATTGTGAGGAGGATGCAGGCTTTGTCCCAGGGAGTTCACAGGGAAGAGACAGGGGAGCATCGGGAGGTGTGTCTATGTATGGGAAGGAAGAAGAATCAAACCTCTGTTCTTCTAAGTACTTGCTAACTGTCTCAGTCCCAGAAGGGCAAAACCTTCAATATAGACCACCCTCATTTTAGTCTTTTGACAACTTAATGGATCACAGATAAGAAGAATGAAGCTCAAAGGGGTTAATTAAGTCAGCTGAGGTCACGCAGCAAGCAAGTGGCTGAGTGAGGACTCAGCCTGGCTCCAGGGCCTGTGTTCATAGTCAGTAGGTGACATGTTCTCTCATGCCTCCTGACTGATTCAGCCAGAGTAGTGCTAACCACTGAGGAAGGGGCCTCGGGCCTCTGTGGAACAGGCCTGAGACGCCTCAGCACTCAAGCTTGTGTGTGATGAGGACAACTGTTCTGCTTTTGAAAGCCAGGTTAATGATGTATGTCAGACTTTGATTTGCAAACAACAGAATCCACTCTGGGTGGTTTGAGCAAAAAACAAATTTCTTAAGGGATATGAAGGACTCCCAGAATCTCTAGGTGGACCATAAAGACATGGGACCCACAGCCAGAAACACCCATTTGTCAGGACTAGTTTATTGCAGATACTGCTGTTGCTGCCAATTGGCACCCCCCACAGCAATTTTCTCTATGCTGTGGCTTTTCCTTTGGTGCTCAAGACTGGGTATCAGTGATGCTGCCCTGTCACCACCCAAATGGGGGCCTTTGCCATCTCTCCCAACAAATAGGGTTCTGCAGCCCACTTCCTCAAGTTGCTCCTTCCCCAGTCAAGCTCACACGCAAGAGAGGTGCAGAGCCCATGTAACCCACCTGGGCTCTTGTAGTGAGAGGAGCTAGGAGGATGGGCTCCAACAGTTCCTAAGGAAATCACGGGCATGGGAGGAGGATAAATGACATGGGACAGCTGCAGACATGAGAAATGGCCCTAGAGCTGCCCAAGTCTATAGCCCAGGGAACTCTAGTCAAGCCATCAACCATTTGGGCCTGGGTTGGCTCAGGTATAAAATGGGGGTTGTCACTGTGGCAGCCTTTCAAGCAGGCATGAATGCAATGATCTTGGGGTACATACCCCAAATCTGCAGTGATCCATTTGCTTGGTTCATCAGGCCAGAGCCTTGCAAATAGGTCCAAGCCCAGTGCCATGGTGCCCTTGCCATGGCGTCTTCAAGGTCTTGGCTGAGCAAGTATCAAGGAGATTCCAGGAGACCCAAGCTGATGATGTCTGCTGTGTAGGAAGGGGTGTGTGCGTAGCACTCAGTGGGGCTGTGGGCACAGGGAGCACACGCACACACTCACGCATGCTCACATGCTGGCACTTAGCCTGGCACGTGCTGCTCACACCTGGTCACTGGCTGACCAGTGATGCCATCGAATGAAAGTAAAGGGCATGTTCCATGTGGGCTTCACAGGAGAGCGTCTCTCCTTGTGTGTGTGTTCAGCTGGGGCAGCTGGTGCTCAGCATCCTGTGCTGTTCTCTTTCCCCAGGCTGGGAGTGGGGGTGCAGGAGAGAAAGGCAAGGCAGGCAGGGCCAGTGGGGAGAAAAGGCAGCAGCAGTCAATTAGGATTAGAATGGTAGTGCCTGTGGCCACTGCCTCCACCACCATGTAAGGGGATTAGAGAAGGAACCAGCCCAGAATGACTGTGTCAAGCAGTAAATTGATGATAATGTGAATTAGAGAGGAAAAATGATAGAACAAAGGACACGTTTATTCATGATGGAAGTCTAATGGCACCAAAAAGACAGAGTGCTTTGTAAGGTGATGTTTTCATTTTTCACAGTAAATGCAAGCTCTCAACGGAGGCCCAGGTCTGGGAGGACTGAGCCAAAGCTGATGTGGGTGGTGGCTGGGTAGGGGGCTTGGAGTGCAGCCAGGGCTGCTCAGCGAGGCTTCCTATCGCTGCCTGCTCCTCGTGGCTCTTTTGCAGTGTGGCCTCTGTGATTCTCCTGCCCCAGTGCCATGTCCTGGCCTGTGGGGGAGGCCCCTCACTGTGCCCCTATCCCTGCCTGGGCTGTCCCAAGGCAGGATGCAGGGCTCAGTACACTTACTCTATGAGTGATTGTCCTGACACTGTCCATCCCATAGAAGAAAGCAGAGGGGCATGAACAGCTCGCTGTCTCTGAGGTAGGGCTCCAGCAGAGATAAGGAAGACAGCAGGAAGTTCTCCAAGATTATTCTTATGCAAGGGGATTGGTGTCTGTGCCTTTCAGAACGACTTCACTGTTGTCACTGCTGCCCCAGGCCACCCTGCCAGGCTAGGGCAGAGGGAAGTCTGCTAATAGGGGCTAAGGTTAGAGGGGAAGCAACACATACTAAGTACCCTCCAAGCCTAGCCCGCTTGATTACATACTAGTTGTACAGCTTTGGGAAAATTCATTTAACCTCTCTGCCTCATTTTTCCCATCTCTAAAAGAATAGTTCCTACCTGATAAGATTATGGTGAAAATTTAAGAGTTGATGGCAGTAATGGTTTTAGAGAAGTGACCATTCCCACAGCATTTTCACCGTTATTTCATGGTGTCCCCTTCAGTGGCCTCACTATGACCCCCTGCTACAGATGAGAAAACTGAGGCTCGAGGGAGTGATGTCCTATGTACGAAGTCACAGCTACAAAGCGGTGGAACCTGACTAGCAAATTCCAGGTCTCAACTCCCTCTTATGGGATGTAGGAGAACGGCTAGGACTGGTGGGATTTGGGTGCGAATGTGGAGTAAACAGGAGTCACTTCATCTGGGAATTAAGAGGCTTGCTAGTCCATCCCAGCAGACACGTGGTGTACCATGAGCTGACAAGGCCCCAGCTGCTGCCTGCCTAAGTCCCCGCATTCATCCTTGAACTGCATTATGATAGAAAGAGACTGGAGCCTGCAGCACACAACCAGCATTCGGGGCCAGGCACTGCCACTGAGAGGCTCGGTGGCTTTGAACCTCTGTTTCCTTACCTAGTGGCTCCAACCTGTGTAGTTCTGAGATACTGCCTGTTCCCTGAGTCTTCCAGTTCCCCTCATCCCTGGGGAGGAATTTTAGCAAAGAGCAGGGCTTTATGGGGGCCTTCCAGAGTGTGTCAGAGAAAGCAGCCCAGAGGCAGTGAGAGGAGCCCAGCATGCTGTGCCGCCCCACCACCACTCTGTCCCCATAAGAAGAGCCATAAGAAGAGGCTGCACCAGCCCTCTTTTCAATACATGCACACCCCAGGCTCCATATGTCCAAACTCAGCCCAACCCCACTTCCTTCAGGAAGTTGACTTGCCAGAACAGGCTGCATCCCCAAGAGCTACTTTTCAGAGTTCAGCTCCCCTCCTTGATCCTGAAGTTAGCCTTCACCAGGTCACGCCAGTGGTTGTCCATGATTGTCCAGCCTTGCACCCAACAGGGTCAGGGAATGAGCAATGAATGAATGAATGGACCGTCTCTAAAATGGGGATCATAATAGTCAGAGAAGGTGACCAAAGGGTTCTTCACTATTTTTTGCTTGCTCAGTACAGTTGTTCTTTCATATCAAAACCCTAACTGAACAGCATAAGGCTCCAAGCTGTGCTCTGAGGACGGATACCAAGGAGAGTAGAACCCAGCCCTACCTTTCCCATCTCCATCCAGGGATAGGATGAGCAGAAAGAACTTGTAGTAGTGTGTGACCCATCCTGTCAGGAGGCACAAGGGCAGGGCAGGGGCTTCCCAAAGGAAGAGAATGGGGCCCTGAGGCTCAAAAGAGGCAAGAAGATTAACAGAAAAAGGGTGATGGGAGCACAGGCAGATGTTCCAGGCAGAAGGCTGGGTAGGAAAAGGCAGAGAGGCCCAAGAGTCTGATCAGTTAACTGTACCTGTCCATTTGGTGTAAGTGAGGTGATGCCTATAGAGGATGCCACGTCAGGGGTAGAGGATATGCTGAGCCAGCAGCATTTGCTGTTCACTTTGTGGTGTATTTGAGATGACGTCAGAGTTCAGTTTCACTGGAGTAGGGTATGTCAGCATGGCTGGAAGGGGTAGTTGTTGTGGGAGGTGAGTCAAAGGAGGCTGACCAGGGCTCAAGCACAAAGCACTTGCCCACTGGACAAAATCTAAATGTTTTTGACCTTCTAAGTCAAGGGCCAGCACACTGTTTTAAAGGAGGGACCCGACAATAAATAGTTGGGGCTTTGTGAGCCACAGGGTCTCTGCTACACTCAGCCCTGCCATAGTAGCAGGTAGATAGTCACAGCCAGTAGGATGAGGATCGAGCAAGGTTGTGTTCCTGTAGAACACCATAGGCACCTAGGAGAACTGGTCCTGAGGGCTCCAGTCTGCTGAGCCCAGCCGCAGGTAGCGAGGAGCCCTGAAATCTTGAGAGCTGGTGGCAGCCTTGATTGGATTTGCAGTTTGGGTAACAGATCAGGATAGTGACCTTGGTGAGAGGGAGTAGGGACTGAGCTGGGTGGGAGGACAGAAGGGACAGAGATAGGGAGGTTGGTGGACAGGGAATCCCAGGTCCAACCTCAGTGCCTTCTCTTGTCTCTTCCAGGCTCTCCCTACTATTACAGCGCTGCTGCCCGAGGAGCTGCCCCACCTGCAGCTGCCACTGCCTATGACCGTCACTGACCCTCAGAGCCAGGCAGGCGCCAAGCACTTATGACACATATCATTAAGGGAGATAACCTCCCAGCACCCCCAAGACAGCCATGGGGGTGTCCCACAAGACTATCCCCCTTGCAACTCCTCCACTCACCTGAACCTCCCTGCTTCCCCTTTCCCTGCCAGAGACTCAGCTTCTCTGGTAGGGCTGTCAACTTATGAAACCTTGTCCATTTCAAGAGTCAGTCGATGAGCTTCTCCTAGTGGTGACAGGGTCTCTGCACACCCACAGAATGTGCTGTGGACCACGTCAGCCCAGCGCAGCCTGCCAGCACCCCCGCTGCCTGGCTGCCTGTGGGTCTTGGCCAGCACAACTCGGGGAAGAGAGCCAGCTTTGTTACTTCAGCAGCACCCATGTAAATACCTTCTTCCTTTTCTGTGGGCCTGAAAACCTGACTTAGCACACTGCCCACCCTGCAATGCATCTTACACTCACAGTGCATCACAGGACACCTTTGACCTGTGCACAGAATGTCCCCTCTGCCCTGGGTGTCCCCTGTCATACAAGCTCAAAGCTGTCCTTCAGATGGAGGATGGGGCACAGCCTCCCTACTGCTCTAATGTCTTGACTAGGGGTCTCATAGTGCTATGAGATGCCCCTGAGATTCCTCCAGGAAGAAAACACTTTAGGGAAATGCCCTGGCTTCTTGTCTCCATTTCCGAGGGGCCGCTGCAGTGTGAGTAGCTCTTTTCCAGATCAAAGGACTCAAAAGAGAACTGTCTGGGAGATTCTTCAGCTGCTGTTCTAACGCAAGAGATTGTCCAAGTGTCGAGTGCATTGTGGACTTTGAATGTCACAGCTGGGTAGGAGCAGAAGATTACCTGATCCAGGCCGGGGTCAAGGGAATGCTCTCCTGACTTCCTCAGCCCCCTGGAACCCCTGAACTGAACTAGAACATTATCTGAGGCATGTCCAGGTTCATATTGTTTTGGAAACCTACCATGGACAATTCACCCACTCTCCAGGAATCCAAAAAGTGGGTTCTGAGCAAATCTGTCCCAGCAATATAGACAGTGATTAGCAAAATGGACCTTCCCCTGCACCAAGGACCACAGCATCCTACAGTGGTCAGCTAGAATCTGAGCTTCCTCTTGGGGTAGCCCTCTGCATCCTTGCAGAGCTGGGGCTGTGGTTGCCACAGAGGTGCTGGGGTTGGGAACGCTTGCTTAACTTCACACAGTGCAGACCTACCCATTGATACAGGGGCTGGGATGGTCAGGGCTGTGGCTAAGGACCACGGGAGCTCAGAGAGGGAGTGTGGGGGAACTCAGTATGTATTATGCTGGTCTGAGGAATCCAGATGGGAAGACTGGAGAGACAGAGGAAGGCCTCTGAGGGGGGTGGACAGACAAACAGTGAGGAATAGGTGTGACCTGGGATGGTTTTGAGATGGGAGAACCAGGTGCCACCATCTTTCCACCTGGGGTCCCAGTCCCTTGCAGGGTCTCTCTTGCCAAATCAGAACCAACAGATGGAGCTCCTATCTAAACCCAGGCTGAGTCACAGCAATGACAACAGGCTTGGTCATCTCATGTGACAATGTCCCTGCCTTTCTTGCCCCAGCTGTGGCTCTGCTTTACTATAGGATCTCAAGCAAGACCTTTAAGTCTGAGTCTCAGCTGTTTTGGTACAGCAAGATCACCAGACAACTTTACCCCCTTCTTCTCAGAGAACTGGGCTATTTCGGATTAATCTGGAGGAGGCCTTCCACTTCTGAACAAGCATTTAGGAGCAGGCACCAGAGTTCTGCTAACATTTGACTCAAGTGGGAAGTAAGAATAACTTGAGAGATGGGAATCAGAAGCACCTTGGGCAGAGACCTAGTTGAGCTCCCCTAGAGGAAACTGAGGCCCAGCTTGAGGAAAGCCAGGACTATGCAGGGAAGAAAGCAGGCCTCCTCTGATCACCTCCAAGTGTTTTGGTCCTCAACATCCCCACAGAGGAGGGGGGCAGAAGAGGATCCCAGACGCCAGCAAAGTGGTGTCTCCAAAAAGTGGCTGACAGATAGAGCTGGGACTTGGGCTCCTGCCTCCTAATACCCCCATCTATATATCTCCTATTCCTGGAAGAGAAGTTGACAGTGAGGGCTGTGGGAGGGAGATCTGGGGCCAGTATTTTGGCCTAGGTGCCTGGCACTGTGAGAACTGGCATGTAGTCCCAGCCACCCAGAGAAGAGATGGGCCCATGAGTTTATGGCATGCATGCCACACCTGTGCAATCTGCCAGGCAGAGAGGGAAGGCCGCTGATGCCAGAGCCCACCCATGGATGCTAAAATGACCTGGCTCCAGCCTCCACCCGCCAGGCCAGGGAGGAGAAGGATGTTCCTTGTCTCCTACCTTCTGCTCTCTCCTAGGAAGTGGTGGGACTGGGGATCCCCAGCACAGGCTCTTTGGTCTCTGTCCCCTGCCACCCCTCTGGGAATAAGGTGCACCCACATCTTTGGACCCTGGCTTCTCCTTGTACATTCAGGCTGTTGAAAGAAAGTGAGCCTCCCTTGAGCCAGCTGCCCAAGGCATGCAGCACCTTTCCTCAGCAAATCCCACCCCATGCTGGCCTTTCCCCATCCTACCCCTGATTCCACCCATAATGAGCTCCCTCCGTGCTTTTTCTCTGTCACTTGAGGCTTTGCTTGTCCTCAGATAGGATTTGTATTTATTAGGCAACCACATGAAGCACAAGATTACAGATGTCCACGGATGTTCTCACACGTGCACGCCTGCTCTCAGAGCTGTCTGGGGGCTTAGTGAGGAGAGTTCCAAAGGGCACAAGCTGTTGAGTAGATGCCAGAGAATTCTGAACGGAAAGCCTGAGTCTCGAGCTGCACCAGCATGGTGGGAGGCCTGGGAGCATTCCTCCATTGGCCTTCAGCCCTAGGTTCCAGCTCTCACTTTTTGAAAAAGGATATTTTCATACCATTTGTGTAGTTCCTACATGGAAAAATTTGAAGACATTTTCTGCCATACCTTTCTCAAGGCACCCTGGTTAGGGTTAGCACTTTCATAACTGACATTGGATAGTGCTTTGTAATCCTCCACCAACTTGTGGGGCAAAGATCATAGTGCCCATTTTATAGATGAGGAAATTTGAGGTCCACCAGATAAGACAGAGATGAAGTGAAAATGCAGCTCTCCAGGCTCAGTTCTGCCTCCCACCCCAAGACCTGTGTTCCCATCATAGGAGTGCTCAGAGACACTCATTCCTCAATCTTCCAGAAATCACCAGACCCACAATGAAAAAAGAACATTTCCCGGAGTCTGCCTTGATGGTAGGGCCTGGCAGTTGGTGGCCTTGCTGGTCCAGCTTGATTCTCATTTACACTGAGACCTACAGTTTTTGCTCAAATTCCCACCCATACTCAAAACTTTCATCTGTACTTTCTCCTGCATCCAGAAGCTCAGAGGGGTCAGAGCCTGTCCAAATATACACCATGACCCCTGGCAGGACCCAGATGGAGCCTAGCTCTGGCTCCCAGGGTACAGAACGCCAGCGTCATGAGCTATCCTCTTACTTCTCTTTTCTCTGCTCTACTTTGAGACAGACTGTTCTAAAATATACGAGTGCCTGAGCCAGGTCCTCAGGATGTGCCCAGGCCTGGAGAACAGAGGTCACAGCCTCCACGGCTCCAACCTAACTGCTTCCCTGCCAGGCAGCATGGCAGGTGGGGCCTGAGACACCCAGAAGTGAATTTAAGTATGACAAATTTTTAAATGATGTCAAGTAAAAAGCAGGTATGTTTAGTGGCCACACCTGGCCTGTTGCCACCCGCTTAGGACCCCACCAGCCATTGCGATGGGCTGTCTCCTTTATTCCTCACCTCCATGTCTTTCATTGCACATTTGGAGGAGATAGGAGCCTAGAGGTGAGATCTATTTCTGGCTGTCCAGGAATTCAGTCCAGAAACAAGTGGCTATAGACCCTGCCGCTCTCCCAGGTCTCCTGCTGGGCTCCTACAAAGTGTTTGGACTTTAAGGGGGTTGGGGGTGTTACAGCAGAGGTGGTGGCTTGGGGGTCACTGTTGGCTCTCTAGGGAAGTAAGTGCTGCTGGAGCCATTTGCCTAAAGCCCCAGAGGTGGCCTCAGGGCACTGAGGAGTGAAATCCCTTTATAAGGAGTCATACTTCAGAGTGAGTGGCTTGCCTTTGGCAGCCTTGGTGTCACCCACCCCTTTGTAGATGACATTTCAGCTAGAATTGAGTTCCAAGCCATGGGGAGCAAATCTTAAAAACAAACCAAGCACCACATGCATATACTTAGGAACAAGCTATGTCTGAGATACATCATCACAGCAAGGTAGAAAAAGCCCAGGCCCCTGGATAAGCCAGCCCTGGGCTACAGGACACTGGGCTAGATCAGCTCCCCAGCACCCCTGCCAAGATGCTGTCTCTGAGGCCCCGGCCTTGTCACCTCTCTGGAGCCTGCCTCTGATGGTTTCCAGGCACACGCACACTGGTGCTCTCAGTGAATTTATTTCTTTAGTTCTTTGGCCTCAGGTCCAAGACAAGTGCATTTCTTAAAAAGTAACAAAATACATGATTGGAAAGTTGGACAGTCAGGCCATGACTCCTAGCCTGCAAGTTGCCCCACCTCCTGGCAGCCCCTTCAGCCCCTTGTCCCCTCTTGTCCCCAGCCCTCAGGATTCCCTCTTGCATATTCATGGGGGAGACATAGTGTTGATCCACACTTCCCTGCTGTCAGATCCAGCTGCACCTCAAGTGGCAACCAGGTCCCCAGGGGATGGCGTCAGAGGACACAGTGAGTCCCTTGCGCATGTGCGCCTGACGAGGTTGCAGCCTTTCTCAAGTGGGCTGCTGGCTGGGAACAGGCGAACACTAGTCTTTCTTTTCATTCTCTGGTATTTTCTTGGCACCTAGGCCCTGTTTGCAGATGCCCAAGGATTGGCGGGGACCTGAGAATCATGTTACTGCTACTGGAGAGTTTCAATCCAGGGAGTCCCGTTTAGCTCATC